GAGAGGGACATCATGCTGGGCAGGGTGGACTCGACGGCACATAACAACAACAACAACATCCTTAGTCACTGTCCAACTTTCAGGTGCATAACTAGCAATTAAGAAGATCATGGTTTGGACCAGGCATATCATAGTCTTCAAACTGTTATCATTACTTGTCAGCATTCTAGAGACGTCCCTGATAGCAGATTTCCCCCACTGGATATGCCTCTTGATTTCTTTTTTATTTTAATTTTCTCTAAGTTTATTTACAAAATTCAAATACATTATTTTTAAGAACAATTTCTTTCCATTTCCCTCAAACACCCCCCTCCCCCATCTCTAGATTTCTTGACAGCTAGTGCTAAAGTTATTGATTGTGGATCTAATGAAGACCCTCGATAAGATGGATCGATTCAGTGATTGGGGTAGTGGAAGTGGGTGTGTTGTAGACAGGACAGAGGTTGGCACAGGACAGAGCAGGGTTTAGGGCTCTTGCACATAGGGTCGCTATGAGTCACAAGTGAATCGATGACACAGTACAACAACAACAACATGGTGTTGCCCATTGGCCCAGTGGTGAAGATTGGGTTTTTTTAAAAATTATTAGTTTTATTTTATTTTGTTAGTGTGTGTGTGTGTGTGTTTGTGTGTACCGTCAAATCAGATCTGACTGGTACAGGAGGAGATTGTGCCTCCTTCTCCAGCAGAGCATCTGGTGGATTTGAACCGTGCACCTCTGGGATTGCAGTACAACTCCCTGCCACCAGAGCTCGCCGGTGAAGATTGTTTTCTCAAAGCTGAGATGTAATTCATATTGAAGGCTGGCTGTAATCCTTGATCTTCTGCAACAAATGCTTCAAGCCTTCTTTCTTGTTGTCATGTGACTCATAGGTACAAGAACCCTAAACCCTGCTCTACCCTGTGCCAACCTGTCTCTTACACACTTATTCCTATTCCCCCAATCACTAAATCGATTCATCTCAGTGAGGGTCCTCCTCTCTTGCGCTGTCCCTCCACCCTCCCAAACGGGACTGGTCCCTCCTTGCAACATGCCCAAAGTATGTCAGATGAAGCTTTAGAATCCTTGCCTCCAAGAGCAGCCCAGTTATACCCTCTCCAGGATAAACTTGTTTGTTCTCCTAGCAGTCCATGGTATATTCAACACTCTTCTCCAGCACCACAGGCTCAAAGGTATCAATTCTCTATCATTCATAGTCACTGTTCAGCTCTCTGATGCATAGTGCACAATTGTGAAGTCCTTACTTTGGTGAATATCCTGTTCTCTGATAAAATACAGACATGTAAAAGTCTCTCTTCTAAAAAAACAGGAAATAAAATGTATAAGAATCTTTATGTAAATGGAGCTTCAATATTGTAATTTGTATAAATCTTGCTGCCATGCTGTAGGCACGTCGTTTGAGGCCACCAGTTGCTCCGTGGGAGAAGGATGGGCAATCTCCTCCCGTGGGATTTAACTGCCTCAGAAAACCCAGTGGAGGGCCAGCTATGGTCGGTTCTGACTCTACAGTACACAACAACAACTTAAATCTTTCTGTAAATGCAGCCACCACGAGTCAAGGAACTAGCTGCTCTGCTGGCTGGCTGATTCTCCCACCTTTTCTTTTTCCTTTTATACTCATGCCAGAATTACCTTTCTTGACTTTTTGTAACTGCAATAGCTTTGTACCTATTTCCCCATCCCTACAAAAAGAGATGAAGGAAGGCCTCATCTTCTGTAGGAAGTTCCTGTTGAAATGGGGCGTTAGCCTACCAGTCAGAGTAGTGAAATTGTGTCCCTACTGGATTGGTGGCCTACTGGCAAGAAGGTGTGCTGCATTCCCAATTCCAGGCCACCAGCTGCTATGTGGGAGAAGGATGGGCAATCTCCTCCCGTGCAATCGACTGCCTCTGAAAACCTGCCAGAGGGTCTGCTATGGGTCAGTTCAGATTCTACGGTACACAACAACAGTTTTGAAGAGGGAAGACCTTTGGTGTGATGGATCAATTCTGTGCCTGGAGCGGTGGGAATAAGTGCATTTGAGAGGGGTAGGTTGGCACAGGATAGAACAGCATTTAGAGCTCTTGTACATAGATGGGGTCGCTATGAGTTGCAAGCGACTCGATGGTACATAACAACAACAATAACATAAAGTCTCAGTTGTCATGATGTATTATTTGGAACTGCTGCAGTTGGGAGAAAAATAAATTTCCCAAACAGACAAAACACCCATGGCTATATATCCTTCTTCTGGTCCCGGGTAAGTGATCAGATTCTTCATCTGCAAAAGGAAGAGAACGGTCCGGACTCTAGACGTTGTTATAAAGATTTTTTCCACAGATGACAAATCCAGTAATCATTAACTCCTTTTCCTCTGCATCAAGTGTATTGTTAACTTCAAACTGTTTATTTCCCTGGCGAAAACTAAAATAAAAGGTTGGGCGGTGTATTTTTGGTGAGTTTACATTCAAACATTCTTTCAGGGAGCTTTTATAAGCAGCCCATTAAACTACAAACCCCACAACGCAAATAAAAGGACCATAAAGTTTCTGAGTATAAAGTCCTAGAGGCTGGGAAGAGGGCAGAGAGCCAAACAGTTTTTATTACCTGGATTTCCCCTTGTTAACATACTCTCTTTCCCTTTCCTCCAAGCACACGGAGTAAATTTCTACCTCCAAAAACGCTCACCCTACCGATTTCAAAGTCATGCTACAATTAATAACCTGTAAACATCATCCAATTTATTTTTTAAAAACCGTATAGGCTGCGTAGAACCTTCCTGTCGAAAATACTCCAACTATTGTAGATTAAGTGGAAAGAAAAACGCTAATTACTATGGTAACCTATCTAGTAACCGTTTTTATCCTTTTAGACTCTGGATTAATTCCCAGCGAATCTCGTCGCATCTGCACACAGCCTCTGCTTTACATGATTCAAGTCCAGCCCAGTGTTGCATTTGAATATGACGGTGGGTCTCAGGTTTGTAGTACACAAATCCAGCCGGCGCTCCAGCGGGCCACCGCGCGTAACTGTGTACCGCGAGCATGTGATCTCGGATTCCATCCCGGTCCCAGCTCGGTGCCCGGCGCGTGGCGCGCGCGCCGCAGTTCCTTTCCCGGCTCGAAGCTGCGGCGCGCGCGCGCCAGCCGAGCCCGCGCGGCCGGAGCCGAGCTTCCTCTCCACCCTCCCCTCAGCACCACAGCCCAAGCTACGGAGCGGCCCGGATGGGGGAGGGGCATGAGGAGGGGCTCCTTAGGGAGCGGCGGGGAAATCCCCTTTCCACAGAACGTTCCCGATTGTTCACCGTCTTCACGTCAGCAGCAGGGGGTAATCCCCCGTCTCCAGCTGCTCGTGACGTCACCATGCGGAGCCACCGCCCCCCGCGCGCCCCTGCCTCCCCGGCCGCTTCGAAGGACCGCCTTCCGACATAGTCACACCCTCTCGCCCTCCCCCTTGGCGCCTGACGTAGAGGGCGGAGCTTCTCCGAGCCAGGCGTGAGCGGTTGCTTGGGCCAGAAGGTTCTGTTGTGGAGTCGCTCCTCTTGCCGCCCCGCCCAGTAGGTTCATTCGCACTGCTTCTTCCTCCCTTGCCTCCCTCCTCGCCCCGCCTCTTCCCCCTCCTTCTCGAGCCCTCTGGTTCCTTCCCCGCCTTGCCACCTTCCACGATCTCGCGAGACTTGGCCCAGAACATTGCGGATCGGGTCGGCGCCATTTTGGGACTGAGGCTGGTTGTGGGGGAGGGAAAAGCGGCAAAAGGGGATTATTCAAAGTGCCGAAAACCTCCTCCCGGGATCGAGCGCAGCGTCACCCCCAGGCCAGGGGCACCTCTGGTGGGGCAGAAGGTAACATGGTCCCTTGTGCTCTGCGCCGGAGTCGGGGAGGAGGGGGGGTGCCCGTGTCGGCGTTGGGGATTGAGGGGTCGGGAGCGGCGTTGGCGGCGCGAGGTGTGAGGCTGCCCGTGGACTGGGGGGAGGGGGGACCGGGCGGCTCGGAGAGAGACGGGAAGAAGGCGCGGGAAGGGCCCTCCGGCTCTTGACTTGATCCGGGGAGGGCGGAGGGGCACGCTTGTGGGGAGGGGTGGGTGACTGAGCCCTGGCGGCCGAGGGGGCTGGTGTTTGGCGGCTGGCTGGGAGCGGGTCCGACGTCCCCGGGGCTCTGCCGGCCTCCGGCGCACGGCCGCCTCCTTTAGCCCCGCTCCACCTGGGAGGACGGAGCGAGCCGAGGCCCGGTTGTGGCCTTCGGCTGTCCTGGAGCAGCGCGCCCGCTCGCGCTCCCGCCTCTCCCACGTCCCTGGCTCTTGCCAGGCACCCGGGCGAGTGCTGCCTCGGTCCCCCCTTTAGAGGAGAGGGTCTGTCCTCCTTGGACCTTAACTAGCGGAGCTCGGTCCCTTCCACCCCGTAGTGCTGGGGAAACGTGCTTTTCTTAATTCAAGGAAACGGGAACCTACACCTTTATTCCATTACTACCTTGAGACGCTGGGAAGTCTCACCCCTGGGCCGATTTAGGAAACGCTCTTTTGCCCCACTTTTCATCCACTTATTTTTAAACCATCTCAGCTTGGAGGGAGCATGTTGGCTTTAATATCTCTGATGCTCTTAAGTTGCATATATTGATGTTTCGTGGCAGCATACCTGGCTGCTTGGCTTTTTTGGTCTTTGGATAGAAAGTAAAGAAGACCTTGTATAAATAAGATTGTATGCCAGTTTTACCTCTTCAATTTGTCTCAAAAATTGGACGCATTTGCTTATATAATGCCCGCAAATTTTGTTTCTGGACCTTCTCCCTCATTTGAAATCAGCGCGTGTCCTCCATGTAACATAAAACTCACCTTTCGCCTCACTGCTCAGAAGCACTGTTCATTCAGGAGACTTTTACTGGGTGTTTACTTGGGCAAAGTTCTGTTCAGGCTCTAGTAGCATTTTACAGACATGAATTTCCGGATTTGACTCTTTAGAGTAATAGTAGTTGCTTTTTACTTATTATTTTTTTTAAGCTCAAAAATCGAAACTGATCGGTTTTTTTAAATAACTTTTACAGGTGATTGAATTAGCCAGATATGAAGATCATCTTCTAGGTTCTGTGTAAAAAGGTCCCCGGATATTTGAAGTGGCCAGTTTTGGAATTACAATGGTCTTGGATATTTTTGCCTCAGAAGTTTATTAAAATTGGCGAAGCAGCATCACCAAAGTGAATTGATAATAGCAAACAATTCATTACACTACGTAAAGAGACCAGGCATTTCTTCGTGTTTTGGCGTCAAACGGATTATATAACCGGTGTTTCAGCTGGTGGAATTTTTGCTTCTTACCCCTTGCCCCCTGTTGGTGTTCTTCAGCCAAACTGTAAGATATGTTTGATTTGTGTACTGAGTAGTTTTCAACAGTTTCAAATTACTGTTTAAATATTAAAGTTTCGTGGTAGTTTATTTTTACATTTACTTAAAGTTTTAGGAATTTTTGATCTTACCCTTTTTCTTCTCATAATGGGACAGCTTTTCTAAATGAAGACATTGAAAGAAAACAGAGTTTTTTTCCTTTTATCTTTTATTTACATGGAAATGTAAGATGTTGCAGTTTCCCAGCAGTATGGTAGTATTGAGATAGCTGTGTCTCCGTTTATGTGCTCATGTTTAGGAATGCTCTTCAGATGTGAAATTTTCTTTTAGTTTTTGATTTTTTTGTATCATAAATTGGATATTTCGTGTGGAGTGGATAAGTACAACGGTGACAAGTACATGGAATAATAAAGAAGACTGGCCTCAAGACTTATAAATCTTAAATTCAAGGAACTTGGCTAATTTTGGCGATAGCCATATGAAAACTTTACAGAAATATGGGTAGCTGACTTGAAGTAACTCTATGTCAAATAGTCATAGGCTAAGTATCTTCAAAGAACTTGGAAATTACTTCAGAGGATACAAAATAAAAAAACAAACTGGAAAACATAAAGATTCCAGGGGGAAAACCAGCACCTTCCTGTGCAGTCCTGTTGGAATTTGTAAGTACTGTTTGATGAGCAAATATCATTTGTGAACTGTAATAAGTCAGATTTATTCTGTGGTTTTTGGGTTGGTGTGTTGGTTGTGTGGGGTTTGTTTTTTGTTTTGTTTTTTTTTTAAGCCTTTCAGTTATTTGTAATAATAGTGTTTGGCTTCTGTTTCCTGGACAGCCTGAAAACAACTGTTAAGGAGCATTTTCTGAGTAAATAAAAACTCAGGTAAAAATGGTTTAGGGTTATTTCAGATTGAAACAGTCTTAAGTTGCAAATATTTGGGAGCTCTGGTAGCCTAGTGGCTAGAAGCTGTACTGCAATCCCAAAGATACGCGGTTCGAATCCACCAGATGCTCTGCTGGAGAAGGAGGGGCAGATCTCCTCCTGTACCGGTCAGATCAGATTTGACGGTATACACACACAATAATAAAATTTTTTTTAAAAAGTTGCAGATACTTGTTGTTAAAAGGCAAAAATCAAGTTTATGTGATCAGTATGTTTCTTATGGTTTATAGATTAGTAATTTGGGGAGGAAGATTGAGAAAACTCAACAGATAATTCACATATCGTGGTAGGTAGGTTATTTTTGTTAATGTGAGGATATAGTTGTGTTCCAGTTTAGAGATATGTCTTTTGAAACAAAATACAGATTTTAGTTGGGGTTTTTGTGTTTGTTTTTCTTTAACCTTTTTTTAGGTTTTAGTTGTTTATATTTTACAATGTGTTTTAAGAAATGACCTTTGCTGACATTTTAATGTTTCATAGAAACTGAATTTTTGTTTGGAGGTGTTTATTGGTATTAGAAAGTACTCCTTAACACTTTAGTTCCCCAAAGAACCAAATAAAAAAATTAAAAAGCGTTATTAGAAAATGAGAAAGTTGCACTAAGAACTTCTAAAATAAGAAAATAAAGCAGTTTAAGAAGTGAATATTCACAACTATATCATAGAAAAGTATTTTTGACAGATGGGAGACTATCCTTGTATTTTCAGAATTAATAATTGATAGTATTTTCTTTCTGGTTAATATGTTTTAAGTAATTCAGGATTCAGTGTTTTCAGTTTTAAAAAATCCACTAAAATTTATCATTTAAAATGTTATTAAAGAGATTAATATAGCTAAAATCAGTTTATTTAATTACTTTTTGAGATAAGAGACTTTTGAATACTTTATCAAAGCTGTCTAATAACTTGTTAAAGAAATTAAAATAATTTTATTTTATTTACCTTGAGATAAGAGATATTTTTTGAGTACTTTATCAAGGCTGTCTAAAAACTTGTCAAGTTGGTCTTATTTTGAAACAGCTTTTACTAAACTGCTGAATCCTTTTAGCTCACAACAAAAGTAGTAGTAGAACTCAAAAGAATGTAGGTACCACTATGTTGATAGAATTTATTTCCTGAACTAAAATTGAGTTTAGAGGATTCAGTAATTCTCCTTGGTTGTATGTTTTCTTTGTAAAAATTGTGTATAGTATTTCTAGGGGATTTTCCAATTTGCCATATATAAATTTCCCTGCTTCTTGGCTTGGAAGAACAGATTTTGTACATTTTTCACATTAATGGTTTATCAGGTTCCTTGTGAGTAAGAAGTTAAACTGAAAATGAATAACTAATGGTTTATCAGGTTCCTTGTGAATAAGTTGAACTGAAAAGGAATAACTTTCCTTTATAAAGATCACTTTACAATTGATAGATTGTGCCTGTTGATATTACTGTCAAGCTGTGAGTTGAAACTGACTCAGGGGCAGTGGGTTTGGTTTTGGTAACTAGTATAAGGGTAAGATTACACTAGAGACTAGAGGTTTCTACAGTTAATTTATATCCTTGAATAATTTATCATTTGTAACCTGCTCAAAAGACAGATTGACTTTAACATTACAATAAGTATTTTAAAGAAATTTTTAGGGAGTTGAAATACACTAATAATTATGCCACTGAAAGTTGGAAGATGAATAGGATCACAGAAGAATCAATGCATTTGCATTGTGGTTTTAAGAGAAGAATGCTGCATGTCCCATGGGCTGCTTCTAAGGGCAAACAAGTACCTTGTCAGTTGAAACGGTGCAGCCAGGGTGCTCTTTGAAGGCAAGGTTAGTGAAACATGTAATTTGAGCATGTTGTGACGGAGGGGCCAGTCTTTGGACAAGGACTTGGGTTTGGAAAGGTGGAGGGTCAGGGAAGGAGAGGAAGATCTTCAACGAAATGGATTGACACAGTTGACTGTAATGGTGGGCTCGAGTATGTCAGAGATGATGAGGATGGCATAGGGTAAGGTAGGTTGGGTTCAGATCCATTGTTAGGGTGGCTACAGGAGTACTGAGTTCTGGTGGTCTAGTGGTAAGCTCTTCTGCCAAATTGAGGCATGAGGTTTTAATCGAACAGCTGCTCCACAGGAGAAAAGATGGGCAGTCTACGCTTGTGCTTTTTACTGCCTCAGTGATTTCTTTTGTTAATGGCATTACCTGTAATCCCTTCATTCTAATCCAATTGTATCTTTGATTGCTTTTTATGTTTGTGACACATAACTCTTTACCTCCCTTTTTCAAAATTCATGCTATTTTAGTAACTTTCAAACTTTTGTTCCCTTACAGCTCTCTTCTCTGTAGTCTATCCTGTAACTAGGAAGAAAAAATGAATTTAAAATGAATTTAAAAAGAAAAATGAATTTAAAAAGAGCTCTTGATTTTGTTACTTTTTCAGTTTTTGTTGTTGCTCCCCTCTCATTGCCTTCAAGTTAGAAATGATTGACTCTAGTGTCTTTTCAGAGGCTGTACATCTCACAGGAGATTGCCCTTCCTTCTCTATCAACAGCTGGTGATTTCGGATTACTTGCCTTTGAATTGACAGTGCAGTTCCCAGCCTTGTAGCTCACTGCAGCTTCCTTTGTTGTTGTTGTTGGGTGCCATCACATTGGCTCCCATTCATAGCAACCCAGTACACAACAGGATGAAACATTTCCTGATCCTTCCTATGTCATTCTCACAATCTATTGTGCTCATTGTGCCACCCTGTCAGTCTCTCCTTGAGGACGTTCCTCTTTTTCATTGACTTTTTACCAAGCTGTTTGTTGTTTTTTCTCCTGATAATTTGTGCAAGATATGTGAGACAAGCTTTACCATCTTTGCTTTTTTTTTTCTTCTCTATCTTTGCTTCTAAGGAGCATAGACTCCTGTATTGGTTGAGAACTAGCATATACCCTTCCAGTCTTTCCCCTTCTTAGTTAAGAAACATTTTGTATGACAGGAATTATTAGCCTGAATGATTTTTGATTACTGGATGTGTATGGGAAACTGCTTTTTTTGTGTGTGTGTGAATTCTTTGAAATTGATAATTTTGTGGGTGTTTGTTTTTCTTGGAAATTTATTACTTTCAGCAGAACCTTCACTAAAAACAATAACGATTACTGCTAAACATTTTGTGCTCAGATTTCTCTTTTTCAATCATATTTTTTTTCCTTTATCTTCATTTACCCCATCCAGCAGGATAATGAGAAACTTAAGTTCACATTCCCTTAAATAACAGCTTTACTCTGTTTACTCATGCTTAATTTTCTGATTTTGAGCCTTCTGTTTTGATACTTTAATTTCTGTACTTTTATTCAATTTTCAGGTTGTTGTTATGTGCGGTTGAGTCACTTGCGACTCATAGCGACCCTATGTACAACAGCCCTAAACTTTGCTCTGTCCTGTGCCAATTGCACTGTCTCTGACACTCCCATCCCAATTAACCCAGTCAACCATTGTATAATTTTTGCTATCCTTAGAAGAGCTTTGAAAATTTTGGTGGATTTTTTTCCTTTGCTTTAGGCAGAATATTAAATGATCCAGGAAGTATTAAAAGAAGATGGAAAGAATATACTGAGTCACTGTATAGAAAGGAATTGTCATGAAACAAGATACGAGCAAGAGCCTATGGTGATGAAGGAAGAAGTTCAAGCTGCTTTGAAGGAAATAGCAAAAAAATAAGGCCCCAGGAATATATGGTATACTAATAGACATATTTCAGCTCACAGATGCTGCTCTGGACGTGCTCACCAAGTTGTGCCAAGAAATCTGGAGAAAACCACATGGCCAACTGACCAGAAGAGATCTGTATTTGTTCCCATCCCAAAAAAGAGTAACCCAACAAAGTGTGGAAACTATAGAACAATATAATTGATTTCACATGCAAGCAAGATTCTACTGAAGATTATCCAAAACAACTGTAACAACACATCAGCAGAGAACTGCCAGAAGTCCAGACTGGGTTTAGAAGGCGTAGTGGTATTAGGGATATTGTAGCTAATGTTAGATGGATCTTAGCTGAAAGCAGGGAATACCAGAGGAATGTATATCTGTGTTTCATTGACTTTGCAAAGACGTTTGACTGTGTGGATCATAACAAACTGTGGCTGACTCAGAGAATGGGAATCCCAGAACACTTAATTGTGCTAATGTGAAACCTATACTTGGACCAAGAGGCAGTCCTCAGAACAGAGTAAGGAAACAGTGCATGGTTCAAAATTGGGAAGGGCATACGCCAGGCATGTGTCCTGTCTCCATACCTTTTCAATCTGTATACAGAACAGATTATCCGAGAGGCTGGGCTCTGAGGAGAAATGTGGGGTCAACATTGGTGGAAGATCTCTCAACAGTCTTGCAGATAGATGACACAACCCTGCTTTCTGAAACTGAGGAGGACCTGAAGTGCTTGCTGCAGATAGAGAGTCAAGGACTGCAGCCTTCAGTATGGATTGAGGCTCAATGTCAAGAAGACAAAGATTTCTCACCACTGGGCCAGTTGGCAGCATCAGGATGGATGGTGAAGAGATTGAGATTGTTCACAGTTTTAGTTTGCTTGGCTCCACAGTCAGCACTCTTGGCACCAGTAGCCAGGAAATTAAAAGACGTGTTGCAATGGCAAAGTCAGCTGTTAGGTACCTCTCCAAAGTTCTGAAGAGCAGTGGTGTCTCTCTGGAGAGTAAGGTGCATCTGATACAGGCCATGGTCTTTGCAATCACTTGTT